AGTAGCTGGGATTACAGGCGTGTGCCACCATACCCAGCTAACTTTGTATTTTCAGTAGAGAGGGGTTTCTCCACATTGGTCAGGCTCGTCTCGAACTCCTGATCTCAGGTGATCCGCCTACCTCGGCTTCCCAAATTGCTGGGATTACAGGCGTGAGCCACTGTGCCTATCAATCAGACTTCATTCTAAGTGCAATGGGAAGCCAAAGGGTTTTAAGCAGGGAACAACTTTAATAACAATTTAACAATTTAATTTTACTTACGCTTTACACAAGAGCTTAGCCTCTGTATATTATCCTATTTCACAATCACTTAGAATTTCCTATATATTCCTGATTCACAATTATTAAAAGTTGAAATAGGGAGAAATTAACCATGTAATCATTTGCATAATTTTAGAACAGCTGAAATTGGCCAGAGCCTCTCAATACAATCAGCTTCATTCTCAGGTTTTATTATACAATCATATAGTTTTTACTCTGGGAAGAACTCTAAAATATGAAAAATTGGAAATTGACATTTTTCCTAAAATAGATATCACCTTTGTTTTCTTTATACTTCCTACTTCTCTTTGCCAGCAGATTATATTCGACTTTTACCGGGCGGGTAATTTTTCGAAGTTACTTTTTGAAAATTTGTTGTTGCTTTCAAAGTTGCTGTTTTTGAAGGAAATTTCCCTTTGGAGTAAAAATTATCTGTCAGTAATTTTGTACTAAAAGGAAAATTCTATACTTACAGCTACAACAGCTTCAGCTACCCCAGTCAAGACAGCTGGCCTAAGAGAATGCAGCAGAATTTTACTCTCAAGTAAAACAAAGAGCAGCAGTGTTGCACAATTCTCAGGACCCAGATTCATTAGCAAGGTGCTAAAGTTGGCTCCACTAGGAAAAAAAAGAGAAAAATAGATCACTGTGAACTATTTTGCTAAGACATGTTAAGATTTGCTTATTAAATTATTTCTTAAGTATTAACAGATTGAGAGTCTAGTGTTAATTTCAAGTCTTTACTTGTTTATCAATGAAAAGTAGCAAATTTAATAAGATAGATAACTGGGAGATTTAAATTCATCCTCTGGTAATAAAAGGCATTTATCAAGAAAGATTTTCCTGAATAGCCATTTGAGTTGAACTCACAAGAAAGGAGACAAGGATAGGAGTGAAGGGGTGACAGACAATATATGCAAGGGCTCCGGGGCAAGAAAAAGCTGTTGTCATAGCCAAGAAATTGAAATAAATCTATTGTGACTAAAGCATAGTAAGGGAAAGGATGAAAACAGCAACACATTAGGCTGAAATTGAAATATACTATTATATTTGCATTTTCAAAAGGACACACTGGCTACAGGGTGGATAAAGAACTGAAGGAAGATGAGTAAAAAGGTACCAGTTAAGAGGCTAGTAGTGAGGTAGTCTGGTAAGACATCATGGAAGTCTACTACGATGAAGATGAAAAGAAGTAAATGGATTCGAGATATTTAGAAAGCAAAAATCAGCTCACCTTAAACCTTTAGTTATGAACTGGATATGGGAAGGGGAGATGAGAAGAAAAGGGAAGTGTCCTCTACATCCAATCTTGCAACTCTCTGAATTGTTCACATTTATAAAACAGCCCCACCATCCATCTAGCTATCAAAGCCAGAAACATTAAGGCTGCTTTTGCCTAGTTTTAACTAATAGAGTTAATTGTAAAATAACAATTAACTTTATTATACTAATCACTAAAATATTTTAAAGCATTCTGCTCCAAGTGAATACATATATCATTCTAAATACTAGTAATTACCTTAGTGGTAAAGGTGTAGAAACTGGCTGTGATAATATTAATGCATCATGGACTGACAGCTTAAAAAAAAAAAAAAGCAACATAAATTAACCAAAACAAGATACAAGTTTCAAAACTACTTGTGAAATCTATATATTTAGATCAAAGGTAATACTGAAAACAACAATTTAATATGCAAACACGCTTTTTGAAACGTACTAAAATATAAAATGATAGCTGTATTTACTCAGAAGTGTTACATTAGTTCTTTTTTAATAAATGGTTAATTTGAATTTTGATTCACTTAATTGGTTAAAGTACAATTATTTAAAATTTAGGGAATTACTGCTTCAGAAAAGCTTCAAATTCATTTACTCAACAGACTGTAGGCACTTGGCAGTTGCTTCGCACATTAATACTTGCAGAACTGAAATAACATTCAATATCAACAATATCTGACTTAATCCTACCATACATAATGTTAAGAATGTCTTAGAAAAACTTTTAAATGGCCTCCTTCTATAAATCAATGCTATTCAAAGTATGTTAAGTATGCCAGTATGTTAATTGTTATGGTCCAGAAAGATATACTATACAAATGAAGAGCAAACCACTAAGCAACTTTTATGACAATCTGACCTCTCTCCCATATCCAAGCACGTAATCAGTGGAACTATTATTATACAGAGGGTATAGACCTGTTCGTGTTGCGTATGTCACAAGCTGTATACCTACCTACGTCTGCTACTTACTGAAAATAAAAAACTGGTCCTTTAGCATAGTACTATTATAGACCTTGTTTAAGTTAACCCCCTCCAACCATTGCTCATTTCATATTTAATATTTATTAGAGAATCTGATATTAAGAACATGCTCAAACATAATCCTGGGTTTTACATTATTAAAATTAGCTACCCAAAGGCCATGCATGGGCCAAAAATGAAAATGTTATGAACCAAGGGTCATAATTATTCCAATTCTGTACATTCAAATCCAAAACCCAGTAAGAAAGGATGTTCAGTAAAACTACAAAGCACAGAAAATCCAAGGACTTTACGAATGCATATTGCTCCACCTCAAACCCAAAGGTATATAGAATCCACTCTGCAATGACTGGGGTGAGCATATGCAAAGTTCTCCCCAAATATACTCTCTTTTGGTTACCTGGACAAGGATTCTCGGTCTTTGTGGTGAAGGAAAAGGGATGTTTTGCATAAAATGTGAAATGTGCCTAGAAAAAAAATTTGAAATAAATATCATAATTACTTTTCTAAAATGCATCACAGGTTTTAACAAATCTTAAATATCACTATATATCATCCCAGATATGACATGGCCATTTATCTAAAATGTAGGCTAAGTAAGTAAATGTGTTTAGTGTAAACGAATTTATCCATGCCCATCAAACTTCTGAAATACACAATGTATTTCCAGACTTCTATTCCCATCCCCTATCATTACCAGATGAATAAAAATAACATAAAAACAGTTTTCATGAAAGGAGTGAATTTTTATAGCCCTGGTTATCCGTGCCAGTACAGGGAGCAACTAACTGTGCTATAATGAATTTACACTAAAACTGAATTTAATCCCAGATTTACTACTCTAACATTGGATGAACCACCTACCCATTCTATTTCTGCACCTATAAAAATTATTTCTTAAGTTTCTCCAAAGTTTAGAGCTTCTTAGGAGCCACAAAAATGCAACATATTACTTCAACTGAAAAAGATATTGATTATATACATTGATTTTATTTTCACAAGCTATTCATAGAATCTTAATTTTTCAAAAGGTTGCTAACTTGTCACTAACATTACATTTTACTTCAAAAAACTTCAAATTAATCTGACAGCTGAATGTTAAACCCAGAACTATAAATCATTAAATTGCCATTTCGAGAGTGCAAAATGAAAGTTGCAACCGTATTTCAATATCAAATTATGATGAGTTTATGCACAGTACTTTACTCTTTTAAAAGGTGATTTTTGGACAGCATTATTTTTAAACCTGTGCATAATTACCCCTACCTTATCCACTAAACTAGTATGTTTCACTGATATTCTTTCTGCTATAATGTAAAAGTTCTGAAATTGTAAGAAACATCTACGTTTACACATACTTTAATACATTACAGAAAGCTCTTGACACTTTTTGGTTTGTCGGCAGGATACATAAATTATAAACTATCATAAACAGAAGTCAGTGTGCCACTAGAAATCAGAAAAGATCATTTAAAAAAGAGTAGCTCAACATACATTTTTCTTGCTTAGGAAAGATTGCATGACAAAAAGAATTACAAACTAAAGAGAAAGCTCAAAGAATTTCTGCCAATGCTAAAACAAAAACTTCACTTTTAACATCAATTAACTTATTCTTACTAATTTCGACATCACTTTAGAGAGGTATTATGGTTAGATTTTGGAATGGCCACTTGTATGGGTGGGTGGGTGGGTGGGTGTGCAGCAGTAACTATTTGTCTCTCAATTATTAGAGAATAAATAGGAAGAAGAACACTCACAATATAATTTATGTAAGTTACTTCTTCAGGTGAATTCTCAAAAGATTATTATTTGGCCATCCTTGCCACTACTATCCAATTTTAAGCTCACAGTCAATGATTGAGGTGAAGAAGGGAGTAAGTAAAAAGTTGGTGGCTAATGCCTGTAATCCCAGCACTTTGGGAGGCTGACGCAGGTGGATCATGAGGTCAGGAGTTCAAGACCAGCCTGGCCAAGATGGTGAAACCCCGTCTCTACAAAAATTAGCCAGGCATGGTGGCGGGTGTCTGTAATCCCAGTTACTCGGGAGGCTGACACAGAGAATTGCTTGAATCCAGGAGGTGGAGGTTGCAGTGAGCCGAGATGGCGCCACTGCACTCCAGCCTGGGTGATGTCTCAAAAAAAAAAAGGGGGGGTAAACGTAGCCTTCCCTCCCTTCCAACTTTGCTGCTAAAAGTTACACAAACAATCAAACATATATACTTATATACCCAGTTTTCCACCAGCCATCTTTCTAATCATATACATACTTTTCAATGGGAAGAGGATGTGGTCCAGACACAGAAAGTTTGTAGATAAACATAAGAAATTTCCTAAAAGCGTCAAAAAAAGGCCAGTGTGAGAGTAAACAAATGCATTTGTTTGTATTGATGGATTTGGAGACCATTTTTCTCTCCACAGGCGTCAATAGGCCCAGTTGCATAAGCTGTTTCTCTGATAGAAGTTCCCGAGAGTAAGGTTCATAAAACTGAATGGCAGCTCCATATACCTAAAGAGTAAGAGAATTCTGTTATAAGATTTGAGTTTGTTTGAAAAAAATTAGCTTCTCTTTTTCTCTTATTACACAAGAAATATTTGCTTGGAGTATACTTATACAGATAAATTACGGAAAAAAAAAAAACTCACCCAAATTTCTACCCCAGAGATAACCAGATTTTGATATAAATCCCTCAAGATTTTTTCCACAGAATTTTATACATTCAACTATAAATCTTATACAAAAAGGGACGGTAACCTCTTATAACTTGCTTTCATTTTTAAAATGAAAGCATTAGAGAATGAACTCTAATGACCTCACTCAACTTAGTTTTTTGTGTGATTTTTTTTTTCTTTCTTTTTTTTTTTTTTTTTTTTTGAGATAGAGTCTCACTCTGTCACCCAGGCTGGAGTACAGCAGCGTAATCTCAGCTCACTTCAACCTCCACCTCCCAGGTTCAAGTGATTCTCCTGCCTCAGCCTCCCGAGTAGCTGGGACTACAGGTGTATGCCACCACACCCAGCTAATTTTTTTTTTTTTCCTATTTTTTGAGACAGAGTCTTGCTGTGTCACCTACACTGGAGTGCAGTGGCGCGATCTCGGCTCACTGCAAGTTTCGTATCCTGGGTTCACGCCATTCTCCTGCCTCAGCCTCCCAAGTAACTGGGACTACAGGTGCCCGCCACCACGCCCAGCTAATTTTTTGTATTGTTAGTAGAGACAGGCTTTCACCATGTTACCCAGGATGGTCTTGATCTCCTGACCTCATGATCCACCCACCTCAGCCTTCCAAAGTGCTCGGATTACAGGCGTGAGCCACTGCACCCGACCTAACTTTTTGTATTTTTAGTAGAGATGGGGTTTCACCGTGTTAGCTAGGATGGTCTTGATCTCCTGACCTGGTGATCCACCCGCCTTGGCCTCCCAAAGTGCTGGGATTAGAGGCGTGAGCCACTGTGCCTGGCCCGTGATTTTTTTTAATTGGGGTAAAATATACATAACATAAAATGTACCACCTTAACCATTTTCAAGTGTACAATTCACTGGTATTAAGTACCTTCACACTGGAGTGCAACCAGTTATCACTATTCATTTCCAGAACTTTTTCATTACCCGCCCCCCAAACAAAAGCTCTGTGACCCTTAAATGGTAACTTCCCATTCTCTGGCCCTCAATCCAAGTCCCTTTGTAATCTCTATTGCACTTCCTGTCTCTATAAGGGTAGCTATTCTAGGTACCTCCTATAAGTGGAATCATACAAAATTTATTCTTTTGTGTCCGGCTTATTTCACTTAGAATAATGTTTTTAAGATTCACCTATATTGTAGCACATACCTGACTTTCATTCCTTGTTAAGGAATAAATCATAATTCCATCATATCTATATACCATATTTTGTGTATCCATTCATACGTTGATGCACGTTTGGGTTGTTTCCACCTTTTGCCTATTGTGAATAACCCTGCTAAAACATTGGCATACAAGTATCTGTTCGAGTCTCTGCTTTCAGTTATTCTGGGTACATGCCTAGGCATGAAACTGCTGGATCGTATGGTAATTCTGTGTTTAACTTTTGGAGGAGTTGCAGCAGCAGCATTTGACTTTCTCATCAGCAATGTTCACAGGTTCAATTCCTCCACACCCTCACCTCATATGACACAAGACAGAGCTGACACTCCTCTGAAATTCTTTATTCCTTTGCTGTCTTTGACAGTACAAATTTCTCTTTGTTTCATGGCTACTTCTCTCTTTCCTATACTAGATCCAATTATGTCACCCCCCATCATTTAAATACTAGCATTCCCTAAGATTCTAGCTTCACACTTCTATTTGGAAAATTTCATTCTCTCACGGTTTTAACTATAATCATTATACTAACAGAACACAAATCTTTATCTCTAGGTCTACCTGATCTCTCCCCTGAACCTCAGACTCCTAGTTTCAAAATGACTACTCAATAATCTCCACTTGGATGTCATACAGGCATCCCAAACCAATATTTTCAAAAGTGAACTCATTATCTAAATACTTCATCCAATATTCCTGATCTTACTCAGTTACGCTACACAATTCCCAAGCTAGAAACTTCGAAGTCATGCTCAATTCCACTTCCACTTACCACATATCAAAGCAACTACTGAAGCCCTAACTGGTCTCAAGTCAGAAGAGAAAGTATTTTAGTGAAAAGTACACTGAAGAAATAGTCCTTCAGAGGTAACATCTGATCCTTCAAAAGTTCCTCATTACAGGTAAAATGCCACAGTCCATATAAGTGACAAGATGCTCTCAATTCCTAATAGTACCTGCTGTTGTTGTTCAACAATACAGAGCTACCAGGTACACAAACTAGTTCATAATTTTGTGCCTTTGTATATTTTGTTTAGCCTTGGTACTTCCTCTGATCTGCCCATTCCTTAATACCCATCCCCTTCTCCCAACAATCAATCCTTACTTCTGTATTTTATAAATCTTGCCAACTGTTTAGTCATTATATATATCACAGGAACCCTTGCCTTTACACACACAACATTCCCAGATACAATTATTTCAAAGTGATCTCAAAGGTTTTAACCCATCACCTTCTCCCAACAATCAATCCTTATTTCTGTATTTTATAAATCTTGCCAACTGTTTATTCATTATATATATATAACAGTAACCCTTACCTTTACACACACAACATTCCCAGATATAATTATTTCAAAGTGATCTCAAAGGTTTTAACCCATCCCCTTCTCCCAACAATCAATCCTTACTTCTGTATTTTATAGATCTTGCCAACTGTTTATTCATTACATATATCACAGTAACCCTTACCTTTATACACACAACATTCCCAGATACAATTATTTCAAAGTGATCTCAAAGTTTTTAACAAGCAGTGACAAATGTATAAACATACATTTTACACACCTCAATGCTTACATGTCAATATCCCCTAAACAATGAATAAGCCAAGCAGATCACCCAGTATTCACATCTCAAATGAGACTTTATTGTTCTCTACTGCCAAAGTATATTAGGTAACTAATGTTTGAAGATCTTAAAATTTTCAGTTACATTTACTACTTTCAGCAGGATAAATTGTAAACGATTATTAAGCTAACAAGTTAGCAGTGGGCAATCAAGTTAATATTGACCTTCACTCAGTATTTTCTGTGTTCCAGGCACTATGCTGGATACTTTACATGTATTATCTTTAACACAGTGGTTGTAAAGGTGTAGCCTGTACCCGTAGAATGAGGTCACAGATTTATTTTGTTTCATCCGCATGAGTCAGTTCAGATTATATATTTTTTCAATAAAATCACCTGTTTTATTAAATTTCTTTAGAACATTTTCAATTTTTGCTGGGCGCGGTGGCTCACGCCTGCAATCCCAGCACTTTGGGAGGCTGAGGCGGGTGGATCACCTGAGGTCAGGAGTTCAAGACCAGCCTGGCCAACGTGAAACCCCATCTCAACTAAAAATACAAAAATTAGCCGGGCATGGTGGCAGGTGCCTGTAATCCCAGCTACTTGGGGGGTCAAGGCAGGAGAATCACTTGAACCCAGGAGGCAGAGGTTGCAGTGAGCCGAGATTGTGCCATTGCACTCTAGCCTGGGGGACAAGAATGAGACTTTGTCTGAAAAAAAAAAAGAAAGTTTTCAATTTTTAAATTTCTACTGCTATCAGCTTTTTATTCTGAATATTGTTTATTTTTGCCTTCTTTATAAATCAGCTTATGTCATTATTACTGTTATATACAATATATGTTTTATATAAGACAATAAATGTCTTTTCTCTCTAGCTGTTTTGTCTCTGCTATTCCATGATAGCACTATGATATAAAAAGAGGTGGGACAGGTCAGGCATGGTGCCTCACACCTGTATAATCCCAGCACTTTGGGAGGCCGAGGTGGATGGATCACTTTAGGTCAGGAGTTCAAGACCAGCCTGACCAACAGGGTGAAACCCTGTCTCTACTAAAAAAAAAAAAAATACAAAATTAGCTGGGCGTGGTGGCACACGCCTGTAATCCCACTGCTTAGGAGACTGAGGCAGGAGAATCACTCAAACCTGGCAGGCGGAGGTTTCAGTGAGCCGAGATCGCGCCACTGCCCTCCAGCCTAGGCAACAAGAGTGAAACTCTATCCCGCCCCCCCAAAAAAAGAGGTGGGATTACTATTTACTTGTTTGTTTGTTTATTTTTCTCTGTTGAAAGATTCAGAGTACATCTTTAATCTGGAGACTCAATTTTTTCATCAACTGTGGAAAACTCTCAACCATTAGCTCTTAGGATCCTTTTCTAGTCTCTCCTTCTGTAACTCATTAAATATCTGTTAGACCTTCTAGTTATATCTGCTACATTTTTAAACTCCTTTTATGTTTTACATTTGTATGTACCACATTTAAGGTAACCCATCTTCCACTTCACTAATTATCCCTTCATGTATGCCTTATCTCTGCTTTTTCTTTTTTTTTTTTTTTTTTTTTTTAAACAAAGAGTATCGCTCTAGAGCCCAGGCTGGAGTGCAACAGTGCAGTCTCAGCTCATTGCAACCTCTGTCTCCTGGGTTCAAGCAATTCTCATGCCTCACCCTCCTGAGTAGCCGGGATTACAGGTGTATACCACTAAGCCTGGCTAATTTTTTGTATTTTCAGTAGAGACGGAGTTATGCTATGTTGTCCAGGCTGGCCTTGAACTCCTGGTCTGCAGTGATCCACCTGTCTCAGCCTCCCAAAGTGCTGGAATTGCAGGCGTGAGCCACCGCACCTGGCCTTATCTCTGCTGTTTAACCCACTCACTGAATTTTTAATTTTAAGGACCATATTTTTCATTTCTAAACACTCGATTCTTTTCCCAATCTATTCATTTTTCAAAATATCCTGTTCCTTCCTTGGTATTTTGAGCCCCTCCATTAGTTCATAAGTCATCTCAATGATATTTTAACTTATAACATCCTTTATATCATCATTCTGTCATTTCAATGTCGTGAGGGTCTAACCCAGCTTTTTAATTGTGTCTGTTGATTCTTTCTACGGTACCTATGTCCTCCATCTGTCATAATCATCTCATCTTGACACCTGGGTTTTGAAGGTGTCTATCCAGAAAGACTTTATCTTTGCTTCTGTAGAAGTTCCAGAGGTATCAATATCCCTGATAGCAATTTTCATGTTGATTTCTCATCTTGGGGATGACAGCGTAAATTTAAACCAAAATGTATCGTGTCCAAATAATCCTAACATTCAAATAAAACTTAACCTTTTTATGAAATAAAAACATGGACAAAATGCATTTAATCACTGAGGCAAAAACATACCTTTTTGGCTGAAGAACCTGTCAAGACAAAAGTTGAAAAAACTGGAAGTGGATATTTGGTTTCAGGATCCCAGCACTCAATAGTAGCTCCCATGGGAAGGCAGAAGAGAGGTACATCTGATTCCGAGAGTGGAAACGACTCATAGTCCTCTTCTGGATATCTAAAAATTAAACCTTTTGAAGAATGAGACAACAATAAATTTTTTTAATATTTACTTTTCCATAAATTGCATATGATAGATATTAATGGAATATTTTAATGCCAAATTTCAAGCCAATACTTGTGTGGTATTTTAAAATTGATTTCTCTCTTGCTATAACAGAAACTAATATAAACACGTTTACCCCTGATATTTTACCCATGGATTTATAGTTCATTGTAACATAAAAATGTATTAATATACTAGTTGAGATTCCATTCAACCAATCTTGATCACCAATCTTAATGTATTTTCTTCTACACACGCCAACACCTTGTAGAAAATGGTAAGAAACATACAGAAAAATTTACCAACTATTTCAGTTAGTCTTCTGTGAAAAATTCAGGGAAGAGACAAGTGTTATGAAATAATGCTGAGGCAACAGAAATTATCACAGCCCCTAAACTCATCTTGAGAGAGAAGCAGTGTAAAAGGCACGCAACATGAAAAGTAAACGAGACAGAAACACTGTGACTAAGTACAGAATACGTGAGACCCAGAAAGTAGGAGCAAGGGATACTCTGAGAACCACAATAAACCCCCTCAGAATAAATTAGCTACATGGCATCAGTTCATTAGCCTCTGAGGTCATCAACATATAGACCATCTCTAAGTGAAAAACCTCAAAATCAGTAGAATTTTGAGCCCAAATTCAGTATCCAAAACTCTCTATTCTAAAATAAGTGTCTCATATCAAATAACTGAATACTTTGGTACAGCTTCTTTCTATAAGTTTTTTAAGTGATACCTTTTCTCCACGACCACCACCACCACCACCAAATAGGAAATCACACATAAACAACATATTACAGCAGTATTAATGGTATCACTTTTTTTTTTTTTTTTTTTTTTGGAGACACAATCTTGCTCTGTCACCCATGCTGGAGTGCAGTGGCACGATCTCAGCTCACTGCAACCTCCGCTTCCTGGGTTCAAGCAATTCTCGTGCCTCAGCCTCCCAAGTAGCTGGGACTACAGATGCGTGCCACCACGATCGGCTAATTTTTGTGTTTTTAGTGGAGACAGGGTTTCACCATGTTGGCCAGGCTGGTCTCGAACTCCTGGCCTCAAGCGATCTGCCCGCCTCAATCTCCCAAAGTGCTGGGATTACAGGTGTGAGCCACCATGCCCAGCCTACGGTATCAGATTTTAAAATGACACTGAATTTTATATGTTAGTTATTTTCATTATTTTTATATTATAAATTAAATGGTTTGGTTCATTAGTATGAATGTTTTTATGAAAATCACGATTTTTTGGATATGAATTCACCTGACTTCCCTGAAGTAAAACTTTATTTCAAGAACTGTGCATAATCAAAAAATAATTAGCACTGCTTCTTTTCACAAAGAAGTATTCCAGTATCTTTTCTATTTACAACTGGAGCATACCTGTATTTTCAGTTTTTATCCCACCATACCAGTGGAATGAAGAGGTGACACTTAAATCTTTACAGCCCTTGACACTTTAATGTGCAGTAAGAATGTGGCGATAGATTTCTCAAACACTTCATGGCAGAAAAGTTTCTCAGGCCCTCCTCTCCTCCATATAGCTGATTCTTTGCAACAAAGGAGAAAGGAAGCAAGTCCACCTTTCATGGCAAGTAACATGTGGTTTCAAATCAGACACAAAGAGATAAGAGAAGGAAATATAAGAAGTAAAGATGCAGTTTGACACCTTTCTGATTGCCAAAATATAAAAGGTCAGAGAGTAAGCAACTTTCCATTATACTGTTAAGTCTATAAACGTAGACCAAAAGCTTGAATGATTATTCCCCATATGTTTGCTTTGGATAAATGTTTAAATTAAATTAACAGCATGTTTGGTCGGGGTATTAATATATCTTGTATATGTAATATATTTAAGAAAACACATATCTTTATATGCTAAAATTATAGACAATTTTATGAATAGATCAATTCTACAAACTACATAAGGGAGCATAGTCTCTTTTAGCCAAATGTTAATATGCACCAATAACTACAGCAATTGAGACAATTTTTTTTAACTCACTTACCAGCCTTATATGCTATTGCATTTGAAGCAGGTACAGACTTCTTATAACACAGAAACACGCTGGAACCCCACTGTAAAACATAAATTAGGTTTATAAAAAGACAAAAGAGTGAAAAGAAATTGATTTTGTTTGGTATCAACTAAAGATTCCTATTATTTACTCAGAAGAGTATTTAAAACACATGTTTATATAATGAATGATGTAGTATAAAATACAGCAAAGCATGAAGTTCAGAACACTAAAATAAAAGAAGAGAGTAAGAAAATCAAACTGCTACAAAAATCAAACCGATATGAAGGCCATTTCAAAAGATTTAGAATTTCACAATCACTCAGCGATTGCCCCTTCTTGTAAGACACAGCACAAAGCGAAGTGTGCACTGGAGCCCAAACTGGGGAAGACTGGGGTCACTGGAGTGCTATGAGGTCATCACCTCCAGAGGCAACCCTGTCCTCACTAATTGTTCTGGGTGCATTTGTCACCTCTGCCTATACAACATTAAGCTAATATTAGTTTGACCTCAAGATATTTTTCAAAGTAAATCTGAACCAAAAGTAAGCTGTAGTCTTTAAAAACTATGAGTCGAACATTTATGTTCATTTTCTTCTTTACTAGAGTCCTTTTAAAGAGTAAGTATGCATGGGTTGGGTGCAGTGGTTCGCGCCTGTAATTCCAGCACTTTGGGAGGCCAAGACAGGTGGATCACAAGGTCAAGAGATCGAGATCATCCTGGCCAACCAACATGGTGAAACCCCATCTCTACTAAAACTACAAAATTAGCTGGGGACAGTGGCACACGCCTGTAGCCCCAGCTACCTGGAAGGCTGAGGCAGGAGAATCACTTGAACCCAGGAGGCAGAGGTTGAGGCGAGCCAAGATCGCGCCACTGCACTCCAGCCTGGGCAACAGAGTGAGGCTCCATCTAAAAAAAAAAATAAGTTTGCAAAACTGCAATATTTTCTCTTGAGCCCAAGAGTTCAGGAGCATCCTAGGAAACTTAAGGAGTCCGTGTCTCAAAAACAAAAACAGGCCAGGCACGGTGACTCACGCCTGTAATTCCAACACTTTGGGAGGTCAAGGGAGGCGGATCATTTAAGGTCAGGGGTTCAAGACCAGACTGGCCAACATGATGAAACCCTGTCTCTACTAGCCTGTAGTCCCAGCTACTCAGAATGCTCAGGTGGGAAGATCACTTGAGCCTGGTGGGGGGTCAAGGCTGCAGTGAGCTGTGATCGCACCACTGTACTCCAGCCTGGGCAACAAAGCAAGACCCTGTCTCAAAAAAATAAAAAAGCAAAAACATGAATGAATGAATGAATGAATGAATGAATGAATGAATGAATGAATATAAGGAGAGCTTCTACCCACTCTAACCCCGCAGTTGTCCCCAAAGACACCACTGAAATTCAAAAGTGAATAAAACCTTTGTTAATGTAATACAGACAATAGTAGGATTTATTCCCCCTCAAATATCCCTGACTTAAAGATGAAATTATTATAAATCATGGGATAGGATTTTTAAAATTATTATAAATCATAAAAATTAGGAAACAATAAAAACAAGCATCATGAATATATAAAATGTGAGTAAAGTATATACCCAACAGTAAACAGGAATCCAAAACATATCCCTTTTCATTTTCATATGAAACTTTGAAGATGAAAACTTTATTCTTACCATTCCACAATTTAAGTTTTTGTCAACTTTGCAGAAGGTATGAGGAGGAGTTTCTCCTTTACTGGTTACAATAACACAGATATCAGTTACAGCCAAGGAATTCTGGGGTCGAACTGGAGAAGCCCTTCGATAAGTGATAAAGATTCTTTGTGAAGTAGTTGAACTATTGTTGACATTGGCACAGCGACCATAGGGTGTGGCTAGGATCACTTCACATCCTGGAATAAGCCGTTCTTTCCCTTCATATAGAACTCTGCATGGCAGGAAGGGGAAGAAATAGATATAGATACATACATACACATATATGTACATATATATAGTACATGCATTTCAGGTTAATGCTGGTTTTCTTCTTGAAACCAAATAAAATTTTTTTCATCTCTCCTAATGTTTCCCAAATCTTCACTACAAACCAAAATTAAAATTATTCCTTTGGGAACTGTAAGTCTCTATTTTTCAAAACCCAAAACATAATTTAAGAAGTGTAAACAGGATTGAACAACTTGATTTTGTATTACTTATTACAAGAAACATGAAAAAAGAAAGGGGCAACACCACAAACATCTTCAGGTCAATTCCTAGAAGTTTCACTAAGTATTCAGATGTTTTCATAAAAATTCGCTTCATAATTTGTCAATTTTTTAGCTTTAAAAATCCTCTGAACACTATAAAACATTATTTAAAGAAATTAAAGCGCTAGGCCCTCGGAGCCCAGCGCCGCCACCATGTCCTCCGGGGCCAGCGCGAGCGCCCTGCAGCGCCTGGTGGAGCAGCTCGAGTTGGAGGCTGGCGTGAAGAGGATCAAGGTCTCTCAGGCAGCTGCAGAGATTCAACAGTACTGTATGCAGAATGCCTGCAAGGATGCCCTGCTGGTGGGTGTTACAAACTGGAAGTAATCCCTTCCGGGAGCCCAGATCCTGTGCTTTACTCTGAAGACTCGAGAGAAGTTCGCTGAGGAATGCCTTCAAGCACAAAGTGACGAATGACTGCCTTCAAGTCTCAAGAAAACACTTTTCCCTAACTCTAATTAGAGATGTTTTAGCCCTTTCCTGTGGCCTGGTCCTATAGCGAAAATCACAGAAATTCATGAGTTTCTACTTGAGTGAGGAAACTGGGTGAAGGAATAGAGTTTTAAATAGTAATAGCCTGTTTTTTTGTGCAAGTACTTTTATACATAAGACAAACAAAAACCTTACCACCAAATATACCAAAATGCACCTGTTTCGTAAGTGAGTTACTAATATTTCTATACCTGGAACATCATGTATGTTTTATTTACTAGATGTTTACATTTTAAGAAGGAAAATAGTTGTGTTTATTTAAACTTGTAAACTGTTGTTCCTGGAAGATATTTATACCATAAAAAATGTGTTCTTTTCTCATGAATTCACAATTCCTAAATGAATACAAGAAAGTACAAATTGCTGGGAGGAAGAATAGGCTTTACTAATTGACTGATGTCTTGATTTTTCTACATGGGAAGATTGTTTTATTTTTAACACTAAATATAGGAGCAGTTTCTTAGCAAACTTTTTTTGAAAAGTTAATGTTATGATGTGCATTAGGCTGCCCCATCGTGTATATAAATGAAGCAGATTCGATCTTTGTATTCTTAAGTTCCTCTACTTTGTAGTCGTGGCTGTAAAGAAATACAGAATTTCATATATTTAGAAATGTTTAAAATGTGACCCACAGAACATTGTAAATGGTTAAAAACTAACATGAAAATATTACAACCTAAAATAATTCTTAACGTCACAAGTGTTTTACTTTGATGATGTGCCTTTGATTTAATTTGGAACACTTTTTTAGATGGATACATTATTCATGTTTGTAACAGTCTTTGAAGAGCTTGGAAATAAAATTTCTTTTTAATTAAAAGAAAAAGAAATTAAAGAGCTAAATAAATAGGACATCTCATGCTTATGGACAAAAAGACAATGATGGCAATACACTCAAATAGATTAATGAAAACTGAATTAATTTAATTCAATTTTCAATTTGATTAATGAAAACTGAAAAATTAATGAAAATTGACAAGATGGCAATACCCTCAAAAAGATTAATAAAGTCAGTGCAATTCCTATCTAAATCCCAGCTGCCTTTGTTTTTTCTTGTCAAAGCAATCTGGAAAAAAAAGAAAGCTGGAGGACTCACACTTCCCTACTTCAAAACTACCACACATCTACAGTAATCAGTGCAATGTACTGGCATAAGAATAAACATATAGATCAACAAAATAAAATGGAGAGTCCAAAATTAAGCCCTTATATTTGCAGTCAATTGATTTCAACAAGAGTGCCAAGACAATGCAATCAGGAAGGAACAGTCTTTTCAACAAGTAGTGTTGGAATAACTGGATATCCACATGCAAAAGCATGAAGCTGGACCCCTTCCTTATACTACTCATCAAAAAACTAAAAATGGATCAAAATCAATGTAAGAACTGAAACTGTAACACTCTTTGAAAAAACAGGAATAAATCTTTGTGACCTTAGGTTAGAAAAAGCCTTCTTAGATATGACACCAAAAGCACAAGCAACTAAACATGCTAAGTGAAAAAATAAAAATTAAAACTAAAAAAAAACAGTCACAAAGACCACATACAGTGATTCAGTTTTTAAGAAATGTCTAGAATAGGCAAATCCATACAGACAGAAAGTAGATTAATAGTTACCTAGGGGTAGAAGATGGGAAAGAATACTAAACAGTAACTGCTAATGTGTATGGGGTTTCTTTTTAGGGTGATGAAAATGTCCTAAAATTAATTGTGGTGGCAGCTGCACAACTCTGTAAATAATACTAAAAACTACTGAATTGTACACTTTAAGTAAGTAAACCGTGCGACATGTGAACTGTATCTCCATAAAGCTGTTAAAGCCCAACTAATATTAAAATATACTATAAAGCCTCTATATTTAAATCAGGAGAGTATTAGCAAGTAAGTGAACAGAAAGACAATGAAACAGAAGAAAAATCTAGTATATGATGATGGTAATATGTCAATATACTAAGGGAAGAATGGATTTTTAAATTTAATAAGCAGGACTTAGATAACTGGATTGTCATTTGGAAAATAAAATAAAATTCTGTCTAAACTTCACACTATACACCAGAAGGGGATCCCCCAGTGGATCACAGATCTAAACATAAGGAATTAAATCATACTATTGCTAAAAGTATAACTAGCAGTGGGAAAAGACTATGACTCAAAATCCAGTAGCAATAAAACATGGGAATAGAAAAATAAACTACATAAAATAAACATTATATGACAACGAACACCATAAGCAAAGATAAAAGACAAGTTGACTGAAGAAAATACTTGACAACTTATTTCACTAAAAGCTCATCTTCCTAATACATAAAAAAAATCCTTTAAAAAAATCAAGGTAAAGGTTAAAAATCTGTTTATAGTATAAGCAAAAGAAAAGAGAAAATCGGCCCTTAAACCTACGGAGCAATGATTAACCTCAATGAAATTACTCTGATATACCATTAATATCTGTGAGATTGACAAAAAAATATAAAAGACCACATATTTTGTTGATGGGATGTGGATTAAAAAAACACACACATGGCAGAATGTAAAATGGCACAAACACTATAGAGAAAAATTGAGTAACATTTAACAAAATTATTTACACATTTATTTTTTAATCCAGCAATTTTTTCTAGGATCTACCTGAAAACATACCTCCAGAAATACATAACAATAAATGCACAGTTATTCATCAAAGCATTCTTTTAATAACACAAAACTGACAACAACCCAAATACCCATCAGTAGAGGTTTCGTTGAATAAAGTAAATACATCCGCACAAGTAAGCAGTATACAGTCACACACAAAAAATGAGAAAGATCTTATATTCAGATATAGAATGATTCCCAGTATATACTCTTAGGTAAAAAAGGCAAAGTACAAAATATGGTATAGAGTACATACATTTTGTTTAAGAGAAAGAAATAGGCTGGGCACAGTGGCTCCTGCTTCCTTTCAATTAGCTTAGCAGACAAATGAAAAAAATGTCAATTTGTAGGTGACAAGTATATTGTTCATTATTCCACAGTCTATCATCTAGGAGAAAAGAATACTTGTGTTTATTATAACAGTTTGTTAACTTTTCATATATTTGAAATTTCTCAAAAAACAAAAGAGCTGGAGAAACAAATCAGTTGCAAGCCAATGAATCTGACAAAGGGAAGAAAATAAGAACTTCATATGGTCTATGATTCTGTATCTCAAGAACTGCATCTGGGTGGGCGCGGTGGCTCACACCTGTAATCCCAGCACTTTGGGAGGCCAAGGTGAGCGGATCATCTGAGGTTTGGAGTTCCCGACTAGCCTGACCAACATGGAAAAACCCCATCTCTACTAAAAATAAAAATTAGCCGGGCGTGGTGGCAGATGCCTGTAGTCCCAGCTACTGGTTGGGGGAGGGGGGCGCAGAAGTTGCAGTGAGCCAAGATCTCACCACTGCACTCAGGCCTGAGCAACAAGAATGAAACTTTGTCTTAAAAAAACAAACAAACAAACAAACAAACAAGAAATGCATCTGATATATAAGATAACATACTGCCCTGTTTAAATTACACAGTCACGCACCACATAATGATGCTTCAAGCACAGGCTGCATATACTATGGTGGTACCACAGATTATAATGGAGCTGAGAAATTCTTATCACCTAGTACTTCCAATACTATACTTTTTATCATTACTTTAGAGTATACTCCTACTTACAAAAAAAGTTAACTGTAAAACAGCCCAGGCAGGTCTTTCAGGAGGTATTCCAGAAGGCATTCTTATCATAGGAGACAGCTCTATGTGGGTTACTGCCCCTGAAGACCTTCCAGCGGGACAAGAAGTGGCAGCGGAAAGCAGAGATAGTGATGATCCTGACTCTGTAGGGCTAGGCTAACATGTATCCTTTTTTCTTAATTTTTAACAAAAGAGTTTAAATAGTTAAAAAAAAAAAAAAAATCCAGGCACAGTAGTTCATATCTATAATTCCAGCACTTTGGGGGACCAACACAGGATTGCTTGAGACCAGGAGTTCAAGAACAGCCTGGGCAACATAGGAGGACCTCATCTTTGCAAACAATTTCAAAATAAGAAAATAAAAACTGGCCAGAGGCGGTGGCTGACGCCTGTAATCCTAGCACTTTGGGAGGCCAAGGTGGGTGGATCACTTGAGGTCAGGAGTTCAAAACCAGCCTGTCCAATATGGTGAAACCCTGTTTCTACTAAAA